ATATACATACATATATATATATACATACATATATATATATATATATATATATATATATATATAGTTTTTACCCTATAATTTCCAGGAGATTCTCTTGCATGTAGAGAATGACTCCATTACCAGACCAAGTTTCACCAGAAACTTAATATAATGAAATTTGCCAAGCACCATTAGTCAAGGGGCTAAAGTATCAGAAGCAATATTTGGAGTCCAACAACACAAAACAGTGTGTTCTTGAAGGACCAAGAACCTCATTCTCTTCATGATTGGAAAATCAATAACAAGAGGATAAGAGTAGAAGTACCTGCATGTCAGTTGATGGGTTCCAGTCAGGATCAAAAATGATTACTCTGTTAGCTCCTGTCAAGTTTGTCCCCAGACCACCAACTTTTGTTGTCAAGATGAAGATGAAAATATCATCTGTATTGTTAAATTCATCTATCAAAGCCATCCTCTGCTTTACAGGAGTGACACCATCCATCCGCCTATAATTGTACTCACAAGTAACCAGAAATCTCTCGAAAATATCAAGCATCTGTTGAGTTTGAGAAAAAAGGAGAACACGGTGCCCCTGTTCTTTCCATACCTTAAGCACTTCTGCAACAACTTTCATTTTCCCACTGCGTTCAGGATTTCCATAGTCTGGATCTCTACAGGAATGTTCTCTCTCAAGAAGATCGGGATGGTTGCAAATTTTCCGCATTACATCAATTCCATACAGAGAATTCCTGTTCCCATCAAAGATCTGTTCAACCTCAGAGCTAGCAAGAAAAGCTCGGTAAACAGATCGCTGCTCTGGTGTGAGGCTGCAGAAGAGGACATGCTCAGTTTTCTTAGTGAGATGAGCATTGACATCAGCTTTCATCCGCCGGAGGAGGTAAGGCATGATTAAGTCACGCAACACCACAGCGCATCTGCATATCAACAGAGCAAAGCCACATAATAATCCACAAACTCAATGCCACATCCCCTATGAGGACCACCCCAGATCCCTCAAGGGTCCAACATGTGCCAATTAAACCAGGGTTAGCAATAAATTTAGAAGATTACAAGCGCTACAAGTTCTAATCAGTATTTTCCCATTTTTAGCTTTCTTTTAGTTTACTTCTGCCCTCTCAAGAGCCGGGGCAAGCGGGACAATCAGTTGTCATGGACTACTACAGATTTCCTTCTTCTTTATTTCAATAAGTTCATCCAGAATTATATATAATAACATGAATAAAAATAGAAAAAAAATACAAAACATAGATAGTCCCTTTGCCTCCGACTCAGATGATAACTAAAATCAAAAGTAGAAAGTAACTACAGAAACCTACATAAACTCTATTGTGGGATAAAACGCCAACCTGTAAGCTGTGGAAACTTGCAAGGGTGTTGCATTAGCATACCCCCCAACAGAAATGGGAACAGCAAATTCAGCCTCAAACACAGGTAGAACTCCCAACTTTCCAGGGAAGACAAAATCAAACAATGACCACAGTTCACTCAGCTTGTTTTGAATTGGGGCCCCTGTCATTATGATACGGTGAACAGTCTGGAGCTGCTTGCATACAAGAGTAACTTCAGCATTTGGATTCCGAATTCGATGTCCTTCATCTAACACTGCATAACCCCATTCGATGTCAAGTAATTTCTCTCCCAATATACGGAGTTGCTCATAAGTGGTGATCAATAGTCCAGAATTTGATCTTACAACACGAGCTATCACGGGATCCCATTTTTTGGAAGTCCTCGAAGATGTGTTTCCTTCAGTCTCACTGTCAAGCAGATCTTCGCTTTCATAGTCACTTTCAGAATCTGCTTGCTTCTTTTTACTTGATAGATCATGAGCTGAATCATGTAATATCTCCACGTGGAAGCTGGGATACCATTTTTTAGCTTCCCTCTTCCATTGCCTCAAAAGAGTGACAGGACAAATGATAATGCTTGGCTTATACATATTGCTAAAATGCAGTGATCCAAGAAAAGATAAAACCTGTACGGTTTTACCAAGACCCATCTCATCTCCAATTATCCCACCAGCTCTTTGACAGTGAAGTTCCCACAGCCACTGTACACCAACCTTCTGATAGTCAAAAAGACTGTTAAAGATAGTTTCCGGGATTCTGAATCCACCTTCAAGTGCCACAAAAGGAGGTTCTACATCTTCAATATCCCCTTGGTTGTCCTCATGACTGGAGGTATTGACATCTTCAGCAGATAAAGAGACTTTAGTACCTTTTATATATATCTGTATGATGTTCATATGTGAATATTAACACCACCACCACCAACCCCCCCCCCCCCC